GTCCCATAATAATTCCAATCAAACTCCAATAACCATTTACTCTTCCGTTGAGAACGACAACAGTCCACTATACTACAATCCTCTCCAGCTGTTCTCCCTTTTCTTTTTCTTTTTCTATCAGCTGGGCAAAAAAAGACGCCGTCTCTTTCAAATCTGCAATCCTGCTTTACCCATGCCCTGCAATCTGCGTCACTATACGCATGGCCCTCCCCCCCCCCCCCCCCCGCCATCTCCACTTGATGAAGCTGTTCAACTGCAACATATATAGACCTGATCAAATGGGCAATGATCGATCAAGAAGCAATAATAGACCTGATCTGTTACTGTTGCTCGGACATGTTTGACCGTTCTCTTCTCGAACCGAAAAGTATGTAGTAATTAATACGTACAGAGCTAAACAACTAGAATTCCATCATCACAAGTTCGAACGCGCCCTTTTGCGTGTCTATATTAGGGATACAAGCGAGTCGAATCGAGTAGCTCGCGAGTAGTTCGGTCAACGGCTTGACTTGAACTCGGTCAGTCTACAAGTCGAGTCTCGAGCTACTCGATTGTAATTCGAGTCGAGTTTCGAGCCAATATTTTGAGGCTCGAGACTTGTCGAGTCGGGGGCATTTAAATAATATATTTATAATTTAAATAATATATATGTATTATAATTATAAAATGACCATTATAGGTATAAATTTTACAGAATTTACATTCGAATCGAGTCAAAAAACTTGATTAGACTCGGTTTGATAAGGTTTGACTAAAGTTTGAGCCTTATCGAGTCGAGTCTCGAGTTTCAAGCGAGTTCCTCGAATCAAGTTTCGAGAATCGATTTTTTATACTCGATTGAACTCTAGGTATATATGAGTCGAGTCGAGTCGAGTTCGAGTATAGCAATGCTCGAGCTTGACTTGACTTGATTACATCCCTAGTCTATATATACATATAATCTATATATACACACACACACACTGATTGCATTCCAAAAGTGGGGTTGCTGCCGCCCTCAGAACTGAGGAGCTTTCTTGTTCAGTAATTATACGGGAATACGAGTACGTGACTAGATCCACTTCATCTATCTTTTCCTCACCGTCGGCCAGTGTAAAACTTCTATTAAGTGGTTTCACAGTTTGGGTTTGGCTACAATTCTCTTCAATGGCATCGTCATAATTTTTTTTTTCCCTTTGAGTGAGTATCATACTATATTTATTTTATTTAAACATCAGAAGTTGAACCGTAATTTAGATTATATATATGTCGTGTGAGTCGTATGTCTATATTTTTTTCTTTAAGATTTTCCTTTCCTAAAATATCAACGAGATCACCTACATTTTGAGTTGTGGCTCATAAGCCAGAGAGTATCTCAATTTTGTTAGATTAATCTTCTGGTGCCTGACCACCTCGCCCTCCAAAAATATATGAACGATAAAGAGGCGACTCGAACACACTATCTCGAAATCTAACTAGACTATCTCGAAACCATCCATCCGAAGGAGCATTCCGACTTAACTTAAGAGGCATATAATTTGTAATTGACAAATATTGGATGGGAAATCTGGTATCACGCATGCATGTAGCTAGTTCGATAGTGCTACAGTAGTATGTGCTTTCCTGCACTTGTTCGGCTGCTCAGTGGAGCTGGGTGCCAAATGCTGTAACAAAGAAGCAACAGATGGAACGCAGTGATAGGACACAAGGAAATTTGGACACGACGGACCCTAAAAAGTGTGCTCATCTACGGATGATGAGTAGGTAGATTTGAAGCTGGTTGTAACGCTGAAAAGTACTTATTTCGTTTTTTTTTTTTTTTTGTTTTTCCTAATGTGGGAATTTAAGGTATGTAAAAATACCCATCTGCCGTCGTGGAGCCATTCCAAAGTGCACATTTTTGGCTCCCGACATGTATTTCGTAGACCAAAAGTGGGCATATACTCCACCCTTCAAGTCTCTTCTTGTCTATTGGAGGAGCTTTTAATCATGTTTGAAATTCCTTCCGCCTTTTCCCCGCACTTTACAGCCGATCCCAATGCCCCCTCCGCCAGTCTCCATGAGTGTGTTTGGATTGTAAGTTATTTGAAATATTTTTACTGTAGCACTTTTTGTGATGTGATGTATGTGAGATAAAAAGGTAATTGAAAAGATAAAAAGGTGTATTGGAAATTGTAATGGTGATGTCAGCAAATATATTTGGCCAAATAATTGGCTGTCCAAACACACTCCATATTCTTCACCATTCATTCATCACACTCTCTGACTCCGTCATAATACTACTTACTGTCTTCTACTTCCGTATCTGGAATCCCTCGGTGGGCTTTTCCTATTTGAGGATATTAACTGTGTTTTTTCACTTCTTTCTTTTTGGCATGGAGGAGAAATTTGACACTTTTTTATTATTCGCATGTTGCCTGCAAATTCTGTGTTTTGCTCTGAGTTAGAGTGCTTCCTTTAATTAAAAAAGTTAAAACCAACAAATAGAATGTGTCAATGGGAGTGCATGGGGCTCTTTTTTTTTTTTTTTTTTTTTATGCTCGGAAAACGACAAAAGTAAACTTTGAACCATTCACACTTTCAAGGTACGTGCATTTTCTTCCTTTCTTTTCGAGGTACGTGTAGTGTAAAACTGTAAAATGCTAATGCTACCACGCAAGGATATATTCTACACGTTTGAGCATGAACATGTTTTCATCCAGCTGGAGCACGGCGTCTCCTCGATTGAGAAATCGTAGTTGTCGTTTAATTTCTCTAAAATACTCTCGTTTAATGCAAAAAAAAAAACTGCATAATTTTATTCTTTGAACTTCATTTTTTTTCTTTTTTAAGAATAATAATGAATGAGTGCTGTACAATGATTGCATCCTCCATGACGTACGGAACTCCTCGGTAACATTTTTTTGATACATTTGTAGTTCCATGTTCATTGCAAGAATTAGGTTGAAACTTCATGTTGTGCTGGGCTTTAGAGCCCCGGCTGAACAGATTGCGGTGGTCTGCTTCCGCATCCACAGAGGGAAAGTAGCCGCGGTTCAATGTTAGAAATATATTTGTCCGTACAAGTTGGTTCGATCGCTTTGTCGTAAAAAAATCGCACGTTCATTCAACTCTTTCTCTGTTGTTAGCGTGAGATGTGTATTGATTGATTTTTTTTGTCAGCAACGATACATTTGAGCCTAAGGAGGCTGTTGCAGGGACTAGTGGGCATACAGATTCAACTAGGGACTAGTGGGTATATAGATTCAACTAGATCAAAAGAGTGTTATGGCACAACCCTTAAATTTTTTTCGCTGCTGATAAAATTTAAACCCTCATTAACAGTCCAAGGAGGGACTTAAGTCCCTCCCTGGTGGCCACTGAGCCATTGGGCCAGTGGCTGAGATGTGTATTGATTGATGGACCAACAAATATCAAAGTTTGCACTTGCACATGACTGAGACAAGCCTCTTAAAGGAAAAAACAATCACAAAGAAATAATAATAATGCACGTACGATCCTACCCTACCCTCCCCCCCCCCCACACAAATATATATGTATATATAATGCACGTATGACAGCCTAGTTTGGTGCATTAATCTGTGCAAGTACATTAACCCCTAGAAAATGCAAAATCCCAACACATACTATAATATTGAGCATGATGGGAGTGATGGGGTCGCTGCACATAGTAAACTGATGTTGATGTCCCTCTAGCTTTCGCAACAGTGCCCCATCTTTTCATCTATTTTTCATTCTTATATAGAATCGAATGCAAAGACAAAGTTCTAATAATGACAAATGGTTGTAGGGCTCATTTGTGAAGTTTGGTCACATTTACTTAAAAGTCCATTCCATCCTGCTTTGTTTACTCGAGGAAACCACAGACCGCACCCCCATTAATCTCCTCAATTAGGTCAAGTGTCAGATTATTTTATCAACTTTTTAATTTAATCCCTCGGGTTAATTAGATTAACACACCACAACGACCTTGACAAGTTTCTAACTTTTTGTTTTTTCAATTTAAATGATCTCGACAACCCTGTAGCCCTTAATTTAAGCAAAAACTTTTCGTGCTACTCTGCATCCGATATTATTATTTATTACATCACTAAGGGAACGAAATGTACCTTAGGAGCCATCTGATTATCCGATGATGAATCAATAATGTTTGCATCCTACGCCTTGTGAAATCTACATTTAAGTACTAATGGTAAGTTCATCAATGCTAATGATGCAAGTCATTGCTGTGTTTAAAAATTAAGGTGTTGAACTATATTGGAGGGCATGTAATGTATGCCCTCATTTTTCGAAATAGGTATCCTTTATTCGATATTCAAATAAAAGGGAATCTTTTTTGTTTTGGTTCGGTGTAAATTCACACACATTCAAATTAATCTCTATTTGATAACTCAAGTTAGTACTTAAATTTAATAGATTTAGACTTTAATATTTTTCAGACGTGTTTGATAACCAAAAGTATAATACCTTAATTAATTAAGTGACTCTAAATTGTTTAGACAAAACTCACTCAAAACAATAAGTGACGGGGCACCCTCGATATACCTTTGCATCAATCATGCTACAATTTTCACTAAGACCTGTGACATGTGAATTTAGAAGCATCCCATTTCTATTACGTGCTACATGTAGATAATGTACAAAACCAAATCTAGGGCTTTGTTTGAATTGCTTCTTTTCTACAATTTTTTTTTTGAATTTCTTGAGAATATTCTCATAATACATATTTTAACTACTTTCTTTTTTTTTTCTTAATTTTACATATACATCTAAAAAATGTATTATAGCGTTAATGACTAAAAAAAAAGCTCTTCAAAAAATACAACCCACAGGAGTTCTAAGTATATAAGAAGGATAATCCCTATTTAGCATCATCCAAAAATATAAGACATTTTTTAAGTGAGAGGTCTGAATATAATTCGCTATCCTCGCTTACGCCCCCTTTCCCCATATCACTTGGCCCATCCCTCCTCCCCCTAGAATATAAGAAGAAAGAAAATAAGAAGAAAAGAAAGGGATGGAGAGTGGAGCCATATGCGAAGTACCTGATTAAATTTGATATATTAAATTCTCTCACCTAATGAAGACCCCAAGAACCAACCAAAAGGAGATTCTTTTTCAGGCCCTCACTTTCTCTGTCTTCATTACGGCTGTCTCTCTCTGCAGCAGCTGCTCTCCTTTGCACTGCTCTGTTTTTCACTCTTGCTCGTTTGACATCTATAAGAAGGGCCTCTTTCCCCATTAGTGCTCTCCTCTATCAAAATTATGCATATCGGACAGGGAGACACAAAAGTTGTGATAGCAGACTACTAATTTTTCTCAACAATCTACAAAGAGGTGGGAAGGCAAACAAATGTACGCAGAGACTGGGATGATGTTCCCTTACTGTCAGAGCTACCCTCAAGAAATTCAGCAGCTTCCAGACTTCTATTTTGCTCAGAAACCCAATGTTTTAGCGGTATCCATTTCTGCCCTTTTCTTGGCCTCTTGGTTTACTGAATTTACATTTTTTCTTGCTTATTAAACTTTGGTTCTGGGTTGAAATGGGGCTCTATACCGCTTGCCTTTCTAGCCCCTTTATACATGGCTTCTTATTTATGTAAATGAGGCAAAATTAAGCTCTTTCTGGGTTTTTTTTGGCAATTTAAACAATGGTTTTTAGTTATTTTCACAATATTCTGTTTATTTGGTGCAAAATTTTGTTTTAGTTACTTTTGCGACATCGTTTACCTGGCGCAAAATTTGGGGGTTTTTTGGGTTGGGTTGGGGGGGTGGGGAGGGGACGAGGTGTGCAAAAACCCAATCTTGGTTAACACAGTTTTTGCCTGTCAGTCGATTAAAATGTCCAATTGTAGCATCTGGGACTTGTGAGTGACCAAGTAAGTTGATAGGATGCTTGAACTCGTTGAAGAAAGGCTTAAAAAGTGGATTCTTTCAGTTCGAAAGAATTGCTTATTTTGTATTCTTTTAGAAACGGTGGTGGAGTAATAGAAAGTACATATATAGAAAGAGTTTAAGTCCTCTTTTGTGTGCTGGATCTGTAAATATGGAAGAAAAGGAATGCAATGTATCACAATCAGAAGTTCCGTGCTCCATACTCCTCTTCCTTTTCTTCCCCTTAAAAAGACCTTATTGGCCACTGTTTCACTCCCCGTCGGCTTCTCTTTCTTAACTATTTTCAACTATTCTGATGCCTCCTTGTTGTTCAGGATTTACTTTTAACCGCACTTTATATAAACGAAAAGAAGCAAAAGTTGGAGAAAAAGCAAAAGCTAAAAGCTACCCCTTTTCATTATTTTTCCAGTGTCTTTAGTTATTTATCTTTGTTCCTTTGGAAAAGTCACACTGAACTTATTACTTGCTGAGCGTTGGAAGATTTTGTACTTCATACACCTTTTGAGTGCTTGGAGGCTGAGATTCTTTTTTCATTTTAGGGTGTTGAAGTCAACTACATGGCATTTGCTTGTTGAGAGAAAGATCTAGGAGAATAATAACATCAACTCAGTTCTCTTTTAAATAGGCAACTGACAGCAACAAGGAGTTATAGACGCTCGTATTCTCTGCAGTTTTGTATTAATTAGTTTTACAGGTCTAGTAACCAATATTTGGTCATAAGCTGGCTGGTAGTTGCCACCATAGCTTTTCCTTCAAAAAATGGTATTATCTATCGAGCAGTCGACATCTCCAAAATACCTGTCCAGCACAGGGTTGATACAAACGGTTTCTCCAATGATCTTGGTACTTCTTGCTTCCCATATGTCTCTACTGAATTTCTGATTATGAATTCTGATGCAGGGTAACCTGATTCAGTCATCCTCGATCTCTGAGTATGACCTTGGGGCAGAAGGCGATCTATTTAAGGCTCCAGAACCCATAATTGAAGAGCCAATTATGGGCCTTGATCCAATGGCAGCTGCAATTTCAATGATCTCTTGTGGTGGAGATGTTATTGCTTCTCAAGACCTCAAGGTGTCGGATATTGAATCATCAATAGATAATGGACAACTTCTCAGTGAGGTTTTTTACGAGTGCAAGAAGGACATTTTAGCAAAAGAAGCTACAGAAGCAACATTCTCTGAAGTTCTGGATGTCAAAGTTCCTGAAGAAAAGTTGATTGCAGGTGGAGATTTTCTTTCTCAAGGATCATTCCAGAAAAGTGTTAGTTCAGGGTGTCTAAGCTCAATGCAATGGATTCATGGTGCTCCAATGAGGCCTAATTTCCTTGATTTTCCTGGATTGGACCTGGGGGCTGTCTATGGTATGCGAAGAGCATACAGTGAAGGAGACATAAAGGTCAAGTTTAATTACTCTTTTCCATACTGTCTTCCTTCCAGTATTGATCATATCAAAATTTCCCCGATATTCAATCCAGTTGGAGTGAGTGAGGATGTCTAGGATGTTCTTCTTGGCAAAGAAGGTAAATAAGGTCGTCCACACTTCGAAATGGGATGGGAACATAATCTTAACTTAATGAATCAAGTAGGGCATTAGAAGCATAATTTGCACGCATAGCAATTTAATTGTCCTGGCATTGGTTATTTAAGACTGGCTGATTCAAGACCTTCATCTATTAGTCTTGCGTTGTTATTATTGCTGTTTTATAGTTATTTGATTCCTGCTTGCCAAGTGAGGGTGCTTTACTCAAGCAGTAACTGCATCAATGGCCTCATTTTTAATTTTGCTCATATAGTACCTGGAGGCTGATTCGTTCAACAGACCTGTGCTATAAGAAATCACCACAGCCATACTCTTTGCCCTTCATCTTTGACACAAATGTGTATAAGAAATCACCAGACCTGTGCTATTTAGAAGCAAATTTGTGTGTTGGACCTGGTATGGCTGGCTAAAATGGTACTTGTCTAGATTATCCGGTCCACCTAGAAATGGCACTAATGAAACTACTCCACTTGAATTCTGCTTATGATTGCTCCCCACGCATGCATTGCTTCCATGGTGTAGTCTACAAACTGAGAAATGTTTAGATGTTTCTCGCCTTTTCAGCAGGATGGGGCTGGGTCATTGATACTGAGTTTTTATGACAGACTCTTGGTAATGGCAGCATAAACCTATTCCATTCTCCAGCGGGACAACAACCACCAATCATTACCAGTTGCACATCTGAAGATCGCCAGGAAAAGCTCTCTAGATACAGGAATAAGAAGACAAAGAGGAACTTTGGGAGAAAAATAAAGGTAAGTTGCAAATAAATTTGACTGTTGTATTGCAATTAATGTCTGTGCTACTACTAGCAATTGACTTGGATGGGTATCATCAGCTGCAAAGCGTTCAAATCGGATGCGTCTTCTGCTAGACGCCTTCTTTTGGGTTGTATTTGTCAGGGGGGAGGAAAAAAACTTGGATGTCATCCGCAGTTTTGAGGCCTAGTTTAGGCATTTTCAATTCATCCTAATCCGTCTTTGAATAGTTTGACATTTGAGTTCCCTCCATCACACTATGTCTTGTACAGATAATTAATGTGGAGTGCGCTCATGATTTTTGTACTCCAGTACGCTTGCAGGAAAGCTTTGGCAGACAGTCAGCCAAGGATCCGTGGAAGATTTGCAAAAACGGAAGAAACAGATTCTTCCAAGAAGCAATAGCTGTTAATACATGACAAACTAAGAAAAAAGTGTAGAAAGGTAGCAGTTTAGTAGTTAGAGACCTGATGAAGCTATGAGGAGATTCGTTGTAATATTTTAGTAGCTGGTGTTAGATAATGTATGGGGAAGCAGGAACGGTTGGATCCTAAAATGTTTGTAAACTGAGGTGATCTCTTCCAAAGGTGAAATATCCTATTGAAGCTGTATATAGTTTGTTGAATAAAAAATCAGTAAAGTTATTTATGTATCAACGGTCCTTCTTTTAAAGCTTTGCGAGCTTTTCCCTCCTTATTAGAAGCCTTTTCGGAAGAGTGTGCGTATTTCTGCTACGCCCTCTGGAAAAGTTTGAGTCTTGGATTCTTTTGACTGCAGGAGGTTGGGTTACTTTTTTACGGAATTTTTATTTTGTGTGGTCTGGTCGTGTAGGCGATTATGAACTCTTATTTACGTTTCTCTGATTAACAAAAAAAAAATGCACCAGTAATTTTTCCTTGAGGTTTCGGTAGGTTGAATGGGGTGTGGAACTGATTTTGATTCCTTTAAATTGGAAAATTCCCCCCCCCCCCCCGCCCTCTTTTGGGTACAGAGGAGAGCCAAAGGCTCTAAAACATTTGTCACTGGTCTGGACGTGGTTGCATCATTGACAGGCTGCAAACAAATCGATACATTCGTGAGTCGATTGCGAGCGGGTCAAGTACGACTCGACTTGATCTGGTCAATATCGAGATCGAATTGAGTTTAAATTGATCAAATCAAACTCAAATTTAAAAATATTAAACTCCGAGTTCGATTATATATATATGTGTATATTTTTATTTTTTATTTTAATAATAAAATTACTTATATATTTTTATATTAAGAAAAATTATTATTTTATTTATTTTTAAAAATAAAATAATTATTTTATTTTATTTTTTAAGTTCGAGCTTGACATTTGACCTCGTTGAGCTCGAGTTCGAGTTTCGTAAAATTAAGTTGAGACTCGACTCGATTAGATTAAAATTCGATTCGACTCATTTGCACCCGTACTTATTGATTTAAGACTATTGCAGGTGCTCCACAAGCCGAATTCCAATTAGTCTCGAATACTCAGTGCTAAACGCAAAAAAAAAAAAGGGTTGGAACTTAATGCCCTCAGTTCTAAAATGTTTTGCTCCTCTTTGTCCTCCTCGATGGCATTGGCATCCCACCTCAAGGTTCAAATTTTCATACCCGATGCTGGTTTACGAGTCTTTAAGTCACCAAGGAAGATTCGTTCCCGGATAACTAAAAGTGAATTTCCGTTGGGAGTTGCATTACAAAAAATATACGGAAAATGTAACTATCTTTAAATTGGCTTGAGAGACAACAAAAAATTACCATGGTAAATGTGTGTGGATATCAAAGTTGGGCATGTGAATACACTATCATTTTCCAAAATATATAGCCCCCAAGACATGGCACTATCATTTACTTGTTCCAAAAAAGATGTTAGCACCTCAAACTTTAAGTTTCTCCCTTTTTTTTTTTTAGGTCCAAAGTCTCAAACTTAAGACCTATCACTCTTCCTTCCTCTTAGCACCTCAAACCTATTAATTACAACATTCCTTCCCCTTATACTATCCAACCTATCACTCTTCCTAAAAATTCTAGTTAATCTTTTCCTTATCTAAATTTTTTCATTTTTTGAAAAATTTTAAGTTAACGGTACCATTCATATTCAAAAACTAAATAAACCATTAAAATGCAAGATTGACTAGAGAATAATTCTTCTACCAAGAACCAGTCTACAGTCATGAATGAGTCTGTTTAAACAGTGAATTAGTAACATAAATTTATTTGCTTACGTCATTAATATATTTTTCAATCACTCTCTTATTTCGTATAAATTACATTAAAAATGTAGTATAATATTTTTTTTTAAAAAAATTATCTCAAATAACGTACCATCCAAATAAATACTCCCTTCGTCCCACTTTGATAGTCTTGTATTCCTTTTTTATCTGTCCCAAATTGTAGTCCACTTTCCAATTGAAAAATGTAGTTGTATTTTAATTTTTCTAAAATACCCTTATTCAATGTAAGTAGTTGTTACTATAAACTTATCCCATTTAATGAGAGTTGATTCTTTTTTACCATCAATTCAAGCTCCCATAAAGTTGTACCATATTTAATGTGAGGGTATTTTAGGAAAATAGCAATCTAAATTTATTTTTCCAATAAAGTTAACTACTTTTTCTTAAACTGTGTGAAAAAAGAAACAGGACTATCAAAGTGGGACGGAGGGAGTAATAAGGAGTCTGTTTGGATTTAGACTTTTCTCTAAATACAAATTTTCACCTAAATGCTACAACAACACACCCCAAGAACACTCCAAATATCTCACGAGTACACTTAACCAAAAAAAAAAAAGTCCTACGACCTCTTTCTTCTTCTACCCACCACAATCGCGATCGCGGCCACCACCCCCTTCGCCTCCTCTCTCATTACTCACCATCGCCCCTTCCTCCTCTCTCCTTCATGTTTAAAGAGCCTCCCCTCTATAGTTCTGTTTAAAGTGTCTCTGTCCAATGTCTATACTGGTTGTTACCTCCTCAGGGATGCAAAGCATAATAAATTCAACCCGTCGACTCTTTCTTCACAGTAATCTTTCCTAGTGCCAGGCTGCTTGGTTGTTGGGTTGTGTCAGCCTCAGCCTCAGCCTCTGGCAGGCCTCACTTCCTCACCATTACTGCAACTGGGCATTCCGGAAACTTTTACCACTACCTTGCAGTACAGTACTACTAAGTAGGAGTACCACGTTGCTACTAAGCCAGCCGCCCATTAGTAGAAGAAAATGGAACACTAAAATTATCCACAACATCCGCTTTCTGCATTAGTCTAAAGGCTGCTGCACAAATCTCCCGTTCAAAAGCAGTTGAAAATTCCCAAAAATAAAAAAAAAAACCCTCCAAAATCCTTTTACTGCCGATCTATCTGTAACCACCGCATCCCGGAATACATCTACCAACTACGGCTTCGCTCTACGGCTTACCTTTCTTCTTGTACTCCTTTTACAGGCTTCAGCCCAGAATCCGTTCTTTTGCTCAGACATCTCTCTGCAACCAAGACGAATTTAGTCCAGCACTGACAAAGGGCAAGCCACGGAAGAAGAAGAAGCGGTTTCACCCAGTCCCCGGCTCAATTATCAAAAGCCAGAGTCATCAGATATTACTACCATCATCCTCTGCGACCAAAAAAAAAAAAAAAATTTTTTTTTTCCAAAAAATTAATAATAAAATGTAAGGATGGATTAAGCAAAGAGACAGAATCCCCTACTAATCAATATTTCTGAGTCCTGGCCAAATCTACATTACAACTGGCCATTCGTCAGACGTACGGTTCAGCATTCAAGAACAAGAACCAAAGAAAGACCACCCCAACTTTAGCCACCATTCAATTTGGGGGCTGCTGCTTGCTTGGTGTCATCCACGGATTTTATTATCTGCAAGTTACCTCACCTGACCTCTGTAGAAATCATCCTCCATAGTACAAATCGAAATTACTCCCTCAAAAAAAAAAAACCTCGCTTCTCGACAAATTACGTAATTATTCATCTTGGTCAATAGCCACTTAATCTCATGCACGATTGATTAAAACTCGCACTCAAGTGACTCAAAACCACAGAAAACTCCGGTCAAAAGCGGAAGAGCCGCCCGGGTGGTGGCCCCTCCTCTTTCTTCAATACACCATCGCTTTATTTATTTCTAGTGCAGCATAAATCTTGGCTGTTACCGTAGACTAGTAGACCGCCACCATGGCCAACTTACAAGCCCACTAATGGCTAAGGAGGCTCTCCTGAATCGAACCATTTCCGCCCCATTAGACAAAATCAGAGCTTCTCCGGACAATTAAAATTATTAATTGTAACGCTACAGAGATTTATCTAAAGCACCTCCGATGCTGCTCCAAATTTCTAGACCAATGAAAGGAGACCATCCACGAGAAAACAAAATCGAAGGAAAAAAAGGGGGGTAATTCAACATCAAATTTTTTTGCTCCGAGCAGCAGTATCAAAAAGATTGATGATGATTTTACCTCGCCTTGGTCGTCCAAGCTAGTAGTAGTCTGGTGGCTGGCAACTTGGCACCATTTCTTTCTCAGACCGGCAGACACCAACTCCGGCATGATCCCATCCTATGCTTGAAGACAGATAGACAGATAGATGCCCAAACCCTTCCGCCCCAAAGAAAAAGACTGAAGAATACTCGAATCTATCGTACCATAGAGCCGTGCCTCTTTCCAACATGAATGAAAATGGTCGAAATAATTCCTCCATGTTCCTGGCTACTGGCACCCAACAGGCGTCTCTAATCCTCGTACAGAACACGAATTATTCAACATAGAAAGCTAAAAAAAAAAAGAACGAAAAAAAAAAAACCCAAACGAACCGATAGGATGAGTTTCCCGACAAAATTCGACGAGGGATCCAACCATAATCGATTGTCCAATCTACCCGACTCCATAATCAATCGATTCATGTCCTATTTCTTGTACGAATAAAGTTCATCAATTAAATCTCAAGAAACCAGAGAAGCCAAAGTTATTTATCACCACCATAAAGGAGAAAAGTTAAAACCCAAAAAAAAAGAAAGAGAAAGAGAAGCGGGAAAAATAAAAAAAAGAGGTATCGTCAAAAAAGAATTTGAAAAAAAAAAAAAATTAAGCATCCAAATATCTATCTTCCATTAGCGACCATTCTCCAACATCCTCGGAACATGCTCTCGAGCAATCCTCTGCAAAAACCGAAAATAAAAGAAACACACTCCTCCAGTCCACACAACCAAACTCACCACCATGTCTAACGTTAATCCCAAGCCATGTTTGCTACTGCACCAGAATTTGGTCTCACTCCCACCCCAACGTGGCACTTCAGTCGCAACATACCACAATTTTTGTCAGACTATAAATGAGCTCATCAGCCAGTCAGCCCCTCCCTCCTTCGATCAGCACCAACTCCAGGCCCAAATCCGTCATCCTCATTCCTCGCGCATATTCTTTTCTTTTCTTTTTCTGTTTTTTTTCCCCTTTTCAATCTCCCGCACCCGCAGCAGACTCATAGTAGGTGCATTAACATACACAAAATCTCTCTCTCTCTCTCTACATATATATATATATATATATCACCCCTTGCTTTCACGAGAAAATCTTTCCAAAAAGAAAAGGAAAATTAAAATATTGCATCATTATTTCAATTCGAGTATACCAAGGCTACCTACACTTCCATTCGCGA